TTTGTGTACAAGTGTATGTGTTTGAGTACCTGTTTTCAATTATTTGGTTTAAGTGAGATTTTACAGTCAGGAAAGTCCCTCTGCATCCATTCTCTTCTCATTAAGAAGAGGTAGAAGGCTGGGCGCGGTGGCTCATGCCTGTAATCCTAGCACTTTGGGAGGCCGAGGCAGGTGGATCATCTGAGGTCAGGAGTTCGATATCAGCCTGGCCAACATGGTGAAAACCTGTCTCTACTAAAAATACAAAAATTAGCCAGGCATGGTGGCACATCCCAGCTATTCAGGAGGCTGAGGAAGGAGAATTACTTGAACCTGGGAGGTGGTGGTTGCAGTGAGCTGAGATCGTGCCACTGCACTCCAGCCTGTGTAATGGGAGTGAGACTCCTTCTCAAAAAAAAGAAAAGAAAAGGAGAGGTAGGCATTTTAACTGAAATTATCCCCAAAAAGAACATTTTAGGGCCAAATTTGTCAGTACCAATCAGTTCAGCTATGTCTGCCCATGCTCTGTATATTCTGATGAGGGAGAAAATGGCTTCCAATTTAGAGGATACTCCTGGTATGGAGAAGGGTCCACGTTGGTGGGCTAGCCTGGGACAGTCTCCTCATGTCTTCTAGTTCTGTTGGCCAGTCAGTGGTAAGATGGGCGCTAAACAGATTAAATAGTATATGAAACTGGAAATCTGTGGAATGGTTTGATGAAAGTATTGGGAATGGGTGGGGTTAGTGAGTAACTAACTTTCCAGAGAAGGTAGGGGCATTTGGATCTTAAAGATGAGAACATTCACAAGGTGAATGAGAGGGTGGAGGGCATGCCAGCCCTCAGGATGAGCATGGGCCACAACACATCAGCATCGAAGTGCATCCTGTGGTTTGAGACTAGCAAGATCATCCATATGACTAGTATCATCAGGCTCGTAGGCTTGTCTGGCAGGGAAGGAAACTGGAAAAGCTGGCAAGAACTAGATTATAAAGTGTCTGCAGAACAGCATTTCCTTCCCTTGCTCTGCAGTCATTCCTAGATGTGCACTCCTTTTGCTGCCACAGTGTTCCACAATCCCTTTTAGCACTCTTCAAGTATCCTTCATAAGCTCCTTGCCCTGGAGAAGGAGGAGACTCTGGAGGTGGAGTGCAGACCCCATTTGCGTTTCCCAATCCCATGGCAGAGAATATGGCAGGCTGTAGAGGCTGGCAACATGGTAACTCAGTTACCTTTATGAGAAACATGAGTTCCCATCACAAAGCACCCCTACAGCTGGACATCACGGTGAGGCAGTCGGCGCACGGTGAGGCAGTCGGCGCACGCTGGTGCCAGCCACTGTGATGAATGGCCAAATTCCATTTGCCCTTTCCCAATGCACTTTTCTTCTCCGTTGCATGCAGCCTTGGGCACACTCATGGCAAGTGCCCTTGCACTTTTGCTGCCTTGCCACTTGCTTCACATTTTTAATTTGCTGAGTGTGGAGGGAGGCAGGAAGACATCAATGATGAAAGAAGTGTGAGCCGGAAAAAAGCATAAAGCTGATTCATGCTGGAGGAGCATTTGTTCCCCTCCAGCCAAAGCCAGTGGGGAAAAATGGAAAAGAATGAAAAGTGATTTTGACTTTATGTTTAAAAGAAAACCTTTTACCACCCAGCATACCCCAAAGCTTCTCCACAGCAGAAAGCCCCTGTAAGCATTGCAAAAGCTCCATCACCAAACTACTTGGAAAGAAGCTATAGAGTGTGGTTAGAAACACTGTTTAGGGCAAATCTAGCTCTACTACTTGCTGTGTAACTTTGGGTAAGTTCTCTATGCTTTCTGACTCTCACTTTTCTCATCTGTAAAATGGGAATAATTACATCTTTACCTTCTTCATAAGATTGTTGTTGGGATTAAATGACTTAGTATCTGTTTTAGAAGTATATGAAACTTAGTAGTATATGGTACAGAATCAAGACTCATTATAAGTCTCCTTCTCGATTAGGCTGATTTAACTAAGAGTAGTATTGAAAAGCAGAACATAGTTACAAACCTAACAACATGAGATAGTGGCCTCATCTTGAGTTTCAGTTTAAATCCTAGCTCCACTACTGACTGGCTTTGTGAATTTGAGCAAGTTACTTAACTTTGAGTTTAAATAACTTTGAGTTTCTCCCTCGTAAAATAAGGATAATAGCTCATCAGGGGCTGCTTTGAGGAAAGCACCTAACACAGTACCCAGCCCAGAGCAGCAGACACTCAATACATGTTTGGTTTTTTTTTTTAGTGTTGTGGTTCTCAACCACATTCAAATCACCTGGTAGGTTTCTTTAAGCATGGGTACCTAAGCCTCATCCCCAGAGACTATGATTTAATAGGTCTAAGGTGGGACCTGGGCATTGGTGTTTCCTAAAGCTTCTCAAGGAGATTTTTTCTTTTCTTTTTTTTTTTTTTTTGAGATAGTCTCACTCTGTCACCCAGGCTGGAGTGCAGTGGCATGATCTTGGCAACCTCCACCTCCTGGGTTCTCCTACCTCAGCCTCCTGAGTGGCTGGGATTACAGGCACCTGCCACCACACCCAACTAATTTTTGTATTTTTAGTAGAGATGGGGTTTCACCATGTTGACTAGGCTGGTCTTGAACTCCTGACCTCAGATAATCCACCCGCCTCGGCCTCCCAATGTGCTGCCAAGGCGATTCTCACAAGGAGCCGAGACAGAGCCACTCCCCAGCAGATAACAGTACATACCGGTTTTGGTTTTTTGTGTGTTCTTTTTAAAAAATCTGTCCCCCAGGAGACTGAACAGGATAGGAGGGATTCTGGGAATAGTCAAAAATTTAATACACCTGCAGCTCTAAGCCCTTGATAAGAAATGTGCAGCCAAGGAATTGCATTCCATTTTATTCTGAAAAAAAAAAGTATTCAAAGAGTCTTTTTAAGAGTCGTGAACTGGAAAGGTGGTAAGAAGTTTAGCCTAAGCCTCACACATAAAATATGGGAACTCCCAGTAGGTTGGGGATTTATATGTGGGGGTAATTCCAGGGTTTTGTCCTCCCAAGAGATATAAATTGAAGCCTTGAGAGTTTAATGTGGGGGAGAAAGAAGTGTTCTCATAATGACACCTTAAAAATCCAGGGCTCTGCTAATGCCTAGGGATAGAAAAGCGTCATCTGTAATAGCAGGGGGTGGCATGGGGGTGTATTCTGGTCTCTGTACTTAGGTTTCCAAGATCCAAGTGTAGGTCATCAAGAACCTTCTTTCTCCCCATAGGTTTATGGTATTAGTTACCCAATAAAAGTTGGGTTAATTTTACAACCCAAGTAAAATTTAAGCCAAAAAGCCTTCAGCATTACTCTAGGATTTATGAAAGTAAACATGTGGAGTGCTTGCAGGATTGTGCAACAGTAAAATTTCAATGTCTTTATGTCAGGTATATGATATATTCATTTGTATGTGTATTTAAAGGTTAAGTTTTTAAGAGCTTTGCAATACAAACTATTTTCAGGACTACACTGAAGATACTTCCCCCGCCTTCACCTTTAAAATGATTCTTTTAATGAATGGGAGTAGAGAGAAGCAGAAATTAGTGTCCTATCAGGTGATTTTTCCACTTGGTTTGCTGCTATCCTTTGACTTGTTAGACTCCTGCACTAGACCTTCAAGTGGGAAGTGCAGCACCACAGCACTAACCACAGTCCCTCTTACGATGTAGGAGCTTAGTAAATAACTGTCTTTTAAATAAATGTCTTCTTTGGTCATTGTAAATACTTTAAGAATAGCCATATGTTATCTCTACAATTTAAAAAAGCTTTTATATTATCTGATGGGATCGTCATGACTTTCCCTTGTAGGGCAGAGAAGTCAGTTACTGTGTCCAACTTGTAGATGAGAAAATTGTGGCTCAGAGGGCTCAGACAGCTTGCCTAAGGGCACCCAAATGTTAAACTCAGGAAGAGAATTTTGTTCTCCTGACTTTGCTCTGAGGGATTTTTACTTAGAAGAAACCAAAGAGGAAAAACGGTATTTTTTTTTTTTTTGAAATGATATATTGAGGAGGAGCATCCAGGGTTGAAGTCAACCCATACACGTGGCAGGCAGACTTTGGTTTGGCTATGGTCTGCCTTTGAGAAACAGCTGGATGTTCTGCACTGGGGGGATCTTGTGCTCCTCGTAGGCCCTCGTGGGAGATGGTAGCCTCTGCCCTTTCAGGTTGAGCCTACCATCTTGGGTCCTCATCTCCAGTTTTAGATCTCCAGTCCTTTTACCTGGCACATGAATCATGTCATTTCTGGTGTCCCTCTGTCTTCAAGATGAAATCTACCACCCCTTCTTTTAAAAAACTATTATAATTTTGAGGCCACAAAACTGTAATAAGACTATTTTTTAAAATTTTAGGGAAGCATGAAAACAAAATTTCCATGGACATTTTCTCTAGATTTCCTTGGATTTAGTGCCTCAATTCAAACTCTCCAGGCCATAGTTTGCCCTGGCCTCTTTGGGCAGGGTAGAGATAATGGAGGTTAAGCAGTGAAGAGCCACCTAATTGAGCTGCCGTCGGGTTTCTTCCCAGCTGCCCCCAGCTTCTCACCCCATGGATCCCCCTAATTGACATGTCAGTTGGAGTGGATCTGGTGGCTAATTCGCCCACATCTTTGTAGCAAATGAAGCAGAAATAATCTGTGCTTAAAAAACAAAAAACTGCAGAACATGTGCCCAAATTTCCAACTCATTTCCTCTTGACTCCTATAACTACATCATCTTCCAGTCCACCACCAGCTGCGAAAATAAAAGCATTTTCTCCCATATTTAAGGATGATTTTGTGCTTCAGGACGACTTTTTGGGGGTGTAGGAAACTTGACCAATATGACCAACAGATGTTTTAAGAACTGAGCAAAAGCCCAATTCCTTAGCCCAGTCTTTTGTATATTGTGCCCAACTGTGCCCCCTAGTGACTATTTAGGGTATCGTGCAGTCAGAGCTTGCCGTGCCCTGTATGTTTGTGGTGCATCAGCTGATGTCTGTCTGTGCTTTCTTTCAGGGATGAGTATGAAGAAGATGGATTCTGTCAGCCATACAGAGGGATTGCATGTGCAAGATTTATTGGCAACCGCACCGTCTACATGGAGTCTTTGCACATGCAAGGGGAAATAGAAAATCAGATCACAGGTAAGTAGCACCAGTGAAATTATATTTGTCCCTTGAATAACTATTTTTCCCACCAAAAGTTTTATTGAGCTCCTCTCTTGACAAAGGATTAAGCTCGGCATGGGGGTTGGGAGCAGGACCATAAAAAAGCATGAGACATGATCTCTGTGCTCTGGAATTTACATTAAAGTAATTTATTGAAGGTTGCTCTTAGAGGAAAAGGAAGCTTTGCGAAATCTCACATTCATTCAAACACTCAATAAATATTATTAAGTGCTTTCAGTGTACCAGGACTGAACCTGAATGGGAGAGATGATGGTGTGTAAATAAGCCAGGTACATCTCTGCCCTCACAGAGCTTACTGTTTAGAAGCAACATGATGTCGACTGAGAGGGGATGAATTTAGAGTTTAGAATTCTGGACGCTCATCCTGGAACTATTATGATAGTGAACTTTGGGGAAATCGATTACTTTCCCAAAAAGTCCCCTTCTTCATCTGTGAAGTGAGTGATGAGGCAAGATGACCATCCCTCTCTTCTTGCTCTAGCTTTCAGTATTTCACCCTTCGTTTTTCTTAATTGAAAGTATCCTTTTGATGGAAATCTAGTAGTGAAGCACTTGCTAGCACACACGAGTTAAAGTAGCATAGGCTACCTTGTAGGATTTTGCATGCATCATTCTGGTGCTTACAGCCGCTTTGTCCCCTTCCATTAGTGTAGTTATGATGCCTCTGTGTCACGTACCCTTTGCAATCCATTCACATTGCCTTCGTGAGATTCTAATGAGGTTGCCATATCTAGCAAATAAAAATTCAGGATACCCAGTTACATTTGAATTTCAGATAAACAACAAATACTTAGTATAAGTATGTCATAAATATTTATCTGAAATTGAAATGTAATCATTGTCTTGTTCTTTATCTGGCAACCCCAGGAGAGGTAAGAACAAACCCAAGGCAGAAACATAGAACAGCAAAAGATCCAGAAGCTATGTGGAAGCTATGTGCTATGAGGAATGTGAAGGAACTGAGAGGAGGCCAGGGGGAAGACGGGGGAGAATTTTTTTTTTTTTTTTTTCTTTTTTTTGAGACGGAGTCTTGCTCTGTCACCCAGGCTGGAGTGCAGTGGCGCGATCTCGGCTCACTGCAAGCTCCGCTTCCCAGGTTCACGCCATTCTCCTGCCTCAGCAACCCAGAGGACTCTTTAACCAACCAAAAGAAGCAACTATAGGAATAGGTAGTTGCCATTTTCTGAAGCCCTCATTTCAGCAGAAAGAAAACTCTGAAATTTCAAAGAGCAGTAGGACTGACAGAGAGGTGCTGTTAAACACCCATTTCAACCTAATGTAAGAATGCCTTAACGTACTTTTAACTGAATATCCACAAAAACAAGTAGACATTTTGGGCCAGGCACAGTGGCTCACTCCTGTAATCCCAGCACTTTGGGAGGCTGAGGCGAGTGGATCATTTGAGGCCAGGAGTTCGAGACCAGCCTGGCCCACATAGCAAAACCCCATCTCTACTAAAAAACAATATAAAAATTAGCTGGGTCTGGTGGTATGTGCTTGTAGTCCCAGCTACTCGGGAGGCTGAGGTACGAGAATCCCTTGAACCTGGGAGGCAGAAGTTGCACTGAGCCAAGAGCGTAACCCTGCACTCCAGCCTGGGTGACAGAGTGACACTGTCTCAAAAAAAAAAAAAAAAAAAAAAAGTGGAAGTTTTGATGTAAATAATTGGTAACCTATTTATAAAAATCCTCTCTTGGAGATTTCTAACGGGTATCAGCCTGGTGGAAAGTATCACAGTTTTTTTAAAAATTCATTTACCTTTGTTTATCCCAGCGTTTCCCAAACTTGTTGGCTTATTTCTCAAGCACTATTCTATTTCACACAATTAATGTTCTGAGCAACATACTTGGGGAAATAATGTATCAACAACCTCATAGATTGCCTTGTAAGGTGTAAGCTCCTTGTCAATAGCGGTATTCAAAGGTAGGCTGGTATGCTTTTTGTGCATCTTACCCTACTGGTAAGAGATTAAGCTAAGGAACCACTAATATTCGATGATACGCCTTGGAACAATTGCACTGTGCTCTTTGAGAACTTCCAAGTAAGTTGCCTCATTTTCAGTAGTAGAAAGTATTTAAGCCACATAGAAATTAAGCAAGTTACCCTAAGTCATCCAGCAACTCTTGCCATCCAGCAAGACACAGAGCTGGATCCTGTGCTCAGGCGCAGCCACTACGGAAACAAGTTCTGTCCCTACAGCTGTCAGAAGTTTTAGAAGCCTCACAAAACCAATAAAAAGCACCAGATGAAACACAAAGTTCGATTGCTTTGTAGTAAAAAAATGAAAAATATATTGTACTTTAACCTAATTAATTTTTTTATTAGGAAACGGTACATATGTAATTTAATCCTGTTTTTTCAACTTTGTAGTCAAAATGGTTTTTTTCAAGCCAGTGAAAGTAAGCTGCTTAGACATCTGAAATGAATCTCCTTCTCTCGGCCTTGTCTGTTTCAGCACAGCGGATTCCTCGCAATGTGTATTTATATCTGATATCTGTTGACGAGATAACCAAAGAAGATAAACCCTGGCCTCTGGGAGTTAATAATTGTGTTTGTTTTCCAGCTGCCTTCACTATGATTGGCACTTCCAGTCACTTATCTGATAAGTGTTCTCAGTTCGCCATTCCTTCCCTGTGCCACTATGCCTTCCCGTACTGTGATGAAACTTCATCCGTCCCAAAGCCCCGTGACTTGTGTCGCGATGAATGTGAAATCCTGGAAAATGTCCTGTGTCAAACAGAGTACATTTTTGCAAGATCAAATCCCATGATTCTGATGAGGCTGAAACTGCCAAACTGTGAAGATCTCCCCCAGCCAGAGAGCCCAGAAGCTGCAAACTGTATCCGGATTGGAATTCCCATGGCAGACCCTATAAATAAAAGTAAGTGGTAGCCCCTGACCTTCTGTGCTGTTCTAAGGGTCAGCAACCTCATGGCACAGGGAAAGCTGGACCTTAACCCATAGTGATTTTCATACTGTTAATCAAATTATTTTCCAGTGGGCTGAGTACTGTGCCTGAGCATTCAGTGGTGGATTAGACATAGTTATCTACAAGAAGCTTCATGAAGACAATAATTTTAAAATATTGGAGCTGGTTTCTCAATAACTTAAACATAGAATTACCATATGACCTAGCGATTCTACTCCTGAGTATGTAATCAAAAGAACTGAAAACAGATGTTCAAACAAAAACTCATATGAGAATGTTTATAACAACACTATTTACAGTAGCCAAAGGGTGGAAACGACCCAAATGTCCATCAGTAGAGGAGCGGTTAAACAAACTGTGGTATATCCACACAGTGAAACATTATTTATCCACAAAAAGAAATGAAATACAGATACATGCTACAAACCTGGGTGAATCTGGAAAACATTATACTAAGTAAAAGAAGCCAGACACCATTGTATGATCCATTTACATGAAATTTCCAGAATCGATAAATCCATATAGACAGAATTCAGATTAGTGGTTACCAGGGGCCAGGCTAGGGGTAGTGGAGAGTGACTGTTTAATAGATATGGGGTTTCCTTTTAGGGTAATATAAGTATTCTAGAACCTATAGTGGTGACGGTTATACAATATTGTGAATGTACTAAATAAATGCACTAATGGTACACGTCATGGTAAGTGTATTATAGCAAGTATCAGCACATTCTTGCATTGCTATAAAGAAATACCTGAGACTGGGTAATTTATAAAGAAAGGAAGTTTAATTGGTTCACGTGTGGTTCTACAGGCTGTACAGGAAGTATAGCAACTTCTGCTTCTGAGGAGTCCTCAGGAAGCTTCAAATCATGGCAGAAGGTGAAGGGAGAGCAAGCTTCTTACATGGCAGGAGCAGGAGAAAGAGAGAGTGAGTAGGGAGGTGCCACATGCTTTTAAACGGCCATGAGAATGAGAACTTACTCACTATCCCAAGGACAGTACCAAGGGGGGTTGGTGTTAAACCATTCACAAGAAACCTGCTCCCATGATCCAATCACCTCCCACCAGGCCCCACCTCCAACACTGGGGATTAGGGAGATTTGGTGGGGACACAGACCCAAACCATATCATACCACTATTTTAAAGATATAGATGGGTTTGCCTCCATCCCCTACCCACTCAACACCACCAAGCAAAAGACTATTTCAGTGTACATTTCCCTTTCATCTAGAATTAATCTCAGTGGCAATTTTTTAGTTTCCATTTGGTCATTAATGCTATTTTATGAGTTAAGTAAATGAATGCATCTAAAATGCTTAACACATGGTAAGGGCTCAGTAGCATCATTATTGTTATTGTTATTACTTCTCCAAATTCCAATTCAGTTCAACTGTACAGATTCTGCAGTGCTTTAAGTCCCTGTGGCCACCTGGGAGGGCTACTTAATGGGATCTGCTTCTCAAGGGTGCTGACCCCATCAGCACAGAGATAGCCCTAACTTTTGTTAGAAACCCAGAATGTACAGCCTCTAATAAGCATGTTCTGTGAATTACAATACCAACTAGATTCCTTATTACATGATTCATGTCTAAAGCTGTCAATCAGAATGGAAGGAAAAGTTTGGCTTGAACCTTCCTTGAACCATTCACTAGGAAATTACTTCTGTGCCCCTAGGTCCCACCCCAGTTCCGATTTCTTCTGTGTTCAATGTTAAAAATACTTTTAGAATACTGATTTTATTACTGAAGCAAAAGCTTTAAATCCTCCCAGGAATGTAACTGCAAGGCAGGCCCTGGGTCCAAGCCCAGCAAAGCAGGGAGATTGCCCTGCATGGCCCCTGACCAGCAGGGAAGCTGTGGCCACAAGGTTAATTACCTGCCCTCCCCTCCAGAAACTGCTGGCTAGAGGAGAGCTCCAGCATCTCCTGTGTTTCTTTCTAATTGTTTGGGCTTTTGTGTGTTTTTCAGATCACAAGTGTTATAACAGCACAGGTGTGGACTACCGGGGGACCGTCAGCGTGACCAAATCAGGGCGCCAGTGCCAGCCGTGGAATTCCCAGTATCCACACACACACACCTTCACCGCACTTCGTTTCCCAGAGCTGAATGGAGGCCATTCCTACTGCCGCAACCCAGGGAATCAGAAGGAAGCTCCCTGGTGCTTCACCTTGGATGAAAACTTTAAGTCTGATCTGTGTGACATCCCAGCTTGCGGTAAATAGAAGTCATTGCCCCTAATGTATTCAATCACCTTTAAAGATCTCTATCCTACCCCTCTTCATTTAGGAGAATCCTATAAGGGGGGCAAAGGAAACGGATAGTATTTGCTTGATCTCAAATTGTTTTTAGGGTAAACCCTGCTGTTTCTACATAAAACACCTTGTAAGGTACCAAAACACGTTCTCAAGAACTCAACTGCCTTTATACCTGCAGCCATTGCACTAGGGGATATAACAAGGACCCAGCCCTCCAGAGGCACAGTTGAGACAGTTTATCACACTGATTTTTGTAGAAAAAGATGTCACCCAGAATGGTCTGTGTCCAAGTAGACCTTTTTAGCAAAAAAGGAATATTGGAAGCAGAAAGAAAATTGTTTTCTGTATGCCTTAAGAACACCACAAGGCAGGATGAATCTACAACCATTACTCGGTCATCCAGAGAATCTGTGAATAAACTGTGTCCTTCGTTACATCTGTTAATACTGCAAAAGAAGTATATAGGTGTCTAGTAAGAAAATGGAATTCCTGAGTCAGTTAACTGTTCCTTTTTCTAGAAAATGTTTGGAGAAAATAATGAAAATAGGCCAAGCATGGTGGCTTACGCCTGTAATCCCAACACTTTGGGAAGGCTGAGGCAGGAGGATCATTTGAGCCCTGGGGTTCAAGACCAGCCCAGGCGACATAGCAAGACTCCATCTCTACCAAAAAAAAAAAAAAAAAAAAGAAAGTGTTGGTGAAACCTGGAGTTAGGAACTACTTTGGAACTGATTCATCTTCCTGATCCTAGTTCTCGTAGATATCGTAGATAACGCCAAGTTTCCCAGGCATAGTGGGAAAGTCAGGATGTCACTGCTAGAAAAGCAAAAGCGACAGGTAGAGGGGTGGGCAAGCAAGAGCCATAGTCATGGGACACACAATACAAAGTGAGCTCGGTGTTTAACCAGATGATTATTCAAGCCATTCATTTAGAATATTTGTTGAGCACCTACTATGTGCCAAGTACTTACTCATCCGGGCATGGGGAGACGCCAGGGACCCTAAAGAGGTAGTAGGCATAGCACATCCACAAAGGAGCAAGAAGTCATGGAGGCGGAACAAGCAAGAGGGAGAGTAGCAGAAGATTAGGTCGGGAAAGTAACAGGACCCAATCATGTAAGGCTCTATAGGCCATTGGAGGACTTAAGCTTTGACCCTGAATGAGTTGGGAAAGCGTGAGAGGGTTTTGAGCAGAAGCGTGACATGACCTGACTTACAAGTTTGAAGGCTCACCTGGGCTGCTGGGTTGAGACTAGCCTGTGGGAAGGATGCAAGAGCAAAAGCAAGGAGATCAGTTGGGAAGCTACTGCAGGAATGCAGGGGACAGATAAAGTGGACTTGGCGGGAGGAGGAGTGGAAGATGGAGGGACATGTGGGCAGATTCTGGATATGTGTTGAAATTGGAGAAAAGAGGAGTCACTGATGGATCAGATGTGGGATATGAATGATGGAAGGAATCAAGAGTGACTATGGAGCTTCTCCATGGAATTACTTTTTGCTGAGATGGAAAAATTATAGGAGGAGTAAATTTAGTGGGAACAGGAATCAGGAGTTTTTGTTCATGCTGAGTTCGAGATGCCTTTTAGAAATCCAAAAAGAAATACTGAGGAGGCAGTTGGATATCACAGACTGAAGTTCAAGTCAGGGTCTGGGATGATATGGATACAAAGGAAATGTTGGCATACAGATGGCTTGTAAGGCCATGACACCTGAAGGAAAGAGGAGCATATCTATTTAACAAGAGAGAAGGAAATGTCAGTGCAAGACAACAACAGCTGCCTTTAGACTCTGGTAAGGGGCAGTAGCCTCTGTTCCTAATGTAGTAATGACCTAACTGAGTGGCTACCTTGTGCCAGATCCTATGCGAGACACCTTACCTCTGTCACCTCATTCAATCTTCATATCCAGCTTCTATCATCCCCATTTTATGGATAAGAAAACTGACACTCAGTAAGAAGTAAGAGGTTTGCTCAAAGACACTCAGCTTTCGGTGACTGAATCATGATTTTAACTCAGGTCAGCCTGATTCCCAAACCTGTTGGCTCTTTCCACTAAGCATACTCTCTCTAGAGAAAGCAAAATGAATCTGCTTAATGGCAACAATAACAGGTAAACAACAAATACATAGTTTGTAGTAAAAGCAGTTTATTGTAATAGGTAAGGACTTGGGTTCTCATGCTTAAGTGCCTGGGTTTTAATCCCAGGTCTTCAATGAAATAGCTGTGTGCTCTTAGCCCCTCCTAATCTCATTTTTCTTATCAGTAAAATGAGAAAATAATGATATACACTTAGGATTTATTGTGAGAATAAATTAGTTGTTAACTGAAAAACTCTATGATATCTGAACATAGAAAATGTTCAATACATCTTATCTATTATTATGTAGTCAATATATAAAGATAAATCTATTTGAATTATCACATAGTCAACATATGTAAAGAAATTCTTGCTCTCAGCTCCGCAAATATTGTTTGAGAGCCCACTATGGAGTGGGGAGGTTATAAGAGGAATAAAATGATTCATGCTTTTGAGGTATGTCACTTCCAATGCAGTATGTATGATACAACAGAAGTTAGCACAAATGTTATAGAACAAAGAAGAGGAAGGGCTTAAAAAAATGCTAAAGAAATCCATAAGAAAAAGTATTAAAAATATTGAAAAGAACCCTAATGATGAAAATTTGAGAAACTCTTATTCTATAATTTTGTTCCTACCTGTTACTTGTTATTATAGTGACTTTACTTGCAAAATGGTTTTACGGATAGTTGAACACACCAAATTTTAGAAAGATCACCACATTCCCTTTTTGTTGCTGGGCTTTCATACACCTTCATATGGGCTTTAATATACCTTCATACATATTACAAAGTAACCTCTTGCAGAGCCATTGTTGATCATTTCAAGGAAAATTATTCTGTATTTTTAAATGGTTTACACATCATTTATGACATTATCCACGTTACTTTCACAGTGATAAGAAAGGAATAAAAACAAAACATAGATTTACTTAGTTACCCCATTCCTTCTCCTAAGCCAGGTAAGGTATGAGAGTCTGCAAGAGAGTCCAGGATAAAAGCAGTACTTACTAAGCACCTTCCATGCACCAGGCACAGTGCTAGGGTTTTCACATGCTTTCTTAATCCTCATCCTCATACTCTGACAGGTATTATTAACCCTATTTTTGCTGACATAGAAGCTGAGGCTGAGAAAGCTCCAGGGTCATCCAGCTAGTAAATGGAAGGTCTGTCTGATTCCAAGCTCATCTTCTTGCTACTCTACTGTGCTACTTCAGGTTACCGGTTGATGTACGAAGGAAACCAAATGAATTGGTTTGTTTTGTTTCTTTGTTTTTTGAGACGGGATCTTGCTATGTTGGCCAGGCTGGTCTCTAACTCCTGGGCCCAATAAATCTTTCTGCCTCAGCCTCCTGAGTAGCTGGTGCTACAGACATGCACCACCGTGCCCAGCTTTAAATGAATTGTTTTAAGAAACAAATGGGCCGGGCTTGGTGGCTCATGCCTGTAATCTCAGCACTTTGGGAGGCCGAGGCAGACAGATCACTTGAGGTCAGGAGTTCAAGACCAGCCTGGCCAACATGGTGAAACCCCCTCTGTACCAAAAATACAAAAATTAGCCAGGCATGGTGGCACATGCCTGTAATCCCAGCTACTCAGGAGGCTGAGGCATGAGAATTGCTTGAACTTGGGAGGCAGAGGTTGCAGTGAGCCGAGATCGCACCACTGCACTCCAGCCTGGGAGATAGAGCGAGACTCAGTCTCAAGAGAAAAAAAAAAAGAAAGAAAGAAAAGAAAAGCATTATTCATTCCACTCTGGGTAAACACTATTTTTCTTTGGGTGACTTCTGACCCTTAATTTCCAACTAATGCCCATCAGAGGTAGGGAAGTAGTTTGCCCAGGAGCTGGAAGACATTGATATTCTGATTCAAGGACTCAAGCTCTATTACAATTAGTTTAAGCAAAGACTACAAATTATACCCAAAAAGTACTCGTTTTCATTTCAATGCCCTTCCTGCAGCATCCAGATCAAACACATGCTAGCAGGAATGAAAGAAACCTTCGAAAGGTCTTTGAGACTGAGTAGAAAGAGGGAGATCACTTACATCTACAGGATACCTACTATGTGCCTGCATGGTGCCTGGTGCTTTACATATTCATCTCCATTTAAAACTCACACCCATGCTGTGGGGTAGGTGTGATTAACATATTTCACTGAGGTTAAAAGGGGCTATAGGACTTGTCTAAATCACACAACCAACCACTGTCTACACAGAGCTCTGACCAAACTCAAAGCTCATGCTCTTTTACCAGACACTCTGCTATCTCTCATTTAAAGATTTTTCTGAAATAAATACAAGCATGACAATAGGTTCCACCTCTGGATTTCACCATGCTGATTTCCATTATATAATATGACATCAAAAAGCTTCCCACGCTGATGAAGCTATCTATCATAGTATTACTCAGTGTGTTAGTATCTGAGTATTAATCAGTATAGCGATGTTGAAAACCCTTGGAATATTTCTTTCCCGGATATATGTGCGGAGGACACAGTGAAAATTCTGAGGACTGGTTAATACTAGTTACATGAGAGAGGAATTTAGATGAAAGTTAAATGTAGAGAAGACAAGGCAGTTTTCACCACTTAGATTTTTTTTTTTAAAGAACGTTTTCATTTTATTTTAAAACAAAGCAGTTCCTCTTGAATTCTTCAAGCCAAACCACCAATACATCCATTAAAGGAACAGGGAAGCCTTGACATATGATCGATAAGCTGCTGGAGGGCCAGTAGCTCCCACGTGGGATTCCTGAGAAGACAGCAGGTCAGCATCAGCTGTGCTCAGGGGTTTGCGTGGCTTCTCCCAGTCGCCCTCAGCAGCCCACCTCTAACAAACTGGTCATCATGGAATCCTACTTTTATAACTCCTTTGGAGCATTTGA